TTGCGTCTAGAGTTTTGGCCGGCGGGCCGGTCTTCAGGCGAATCCCCGGTGCCTTCCAGCAAGCCCCGGCGAGGGCGAAGGGCGAAGGGCGAGGCCAGGCGGCAACAATGCAAATACCTATCCCGAGCCGCGGGGCGGGGTCGAGACGGCCGAGGCGGCCAGGGGAAAATGAGCGGAGCCCCACGGCGGGGCAGCGGGCGGAGTAGTAGTCGAGCAGCGGAGCAGCGGAGCCACGGGGGGATTTTTCTGCTGGTTTATTGCAGACGGCTCCCACTTTCCAATCATCGCCCGAGGAATTCCGACGGCAAAATATTGAAGAGGAAAAATGTTGAACGGGCTGCTCTGCTCGGCGGAGCTGCGAGCCGCGAGCCGCGAGGCGAGGGGGATCCAAATTTATGCTGGAGAGCGAGCGAGCCAGGCGGGCCAGGCGGACGGCGGCGTAGCGAGTCGCGCAGGTGTGCGGTCCGGCGCTCGGCGCCATGACGGCCGTGTGACGGTCGTGTGACGGCCGTGTGACGGCCGTGTGACCGTGACGGGGTGGCAGTGGCACGCTGTGTCAGTCACGCTGCGCACAGGGGCCATCACGAGTCACGGAGACAATCGAACGCGCTCGGGGGGGAGAGCGGTGCGCGCCCCGCATTGCGGAGCTTTGACTCCTTTGCGCTCTGGGGAGCCTTGACTGCTCTCCGCACGGCAAAACCAACGTCCGGGTTTCCCAGGCGCACCCTGGAAAAACAGGGCATTTTTCCAGGGTGCGCCTGGGAAACCCGGACGTTGGTTTTGCCGTGCGCTTTGCGGAGCTTTGGCTGCTTCGAGCTTTTTGGAGCTTTGACTGCTCTAAGCTTTTCGGAACTTTGACTACTTCGAGCTTTTGCTACTTTCGGCTTTGCGGAGCGTTTCTTACTTTAAGCTTTGTCGAGCTTTTCCTACTTTAAGCTTGCCGAGTTTTGCCTACTTTAAGCTTTGCGGAGCTTTGTCTGCTTTGGGCTTTACAGAGCTTTGACTGGTAAGCTTTGCCCTTTGACTGCATTGAAGTTTGAAGATCTTTGACTGCTTTGAAGTTCGCAGAGCTTTGACTGTTCTAAGCTTTCCGGAGCTTTGACTGCAGCAAGCTTTCCGGAGCTTTGACTGCAGCAAGCTTTCCGGAGCTTTGACTGCAGCAAGCTTTCCGGAGCTTTCACTGCAGCAAGCTTTCCGGAGCTTTCACTGCAGCAAGCTTTCCGGAGCTTTCACTGCTTTAAGCTCCACGGAGCTTTGCGGTGCCGTTTCTCTCCGACCGGGGTCGGCTGGGGATTACTGCTCCGCCGCAGCCAGGCCTGCGCCAGGCCTGCAACGCGGCGCCGGCCTGCTCAAATTGGAGTTTGCGCCGCACTGGCCGCCACCGCCAGCCAGCCACTGCAATGAGGTATTCCGACGCAACCCGGACCGGAACCCACGCAGAGGAAATACTGTATCTGGATCCAGTAAGAGAAATGAGGCGCTCGGAGGTCTTTCGCACGACTCGTTTCGCATTCGTGGAGAAGGGTCTACACCGTTTGTACGACCTCTTTTTGTCCGACCTTACCTCTCTTGCTACCAAAGCTACCAAAAACTGAACCAACAACGAACATAACCTAACCTTAAGTCAAACTGCATATCCAAGAGTAGCCGGCAAGCATAGGTCTTTACACTACTCACAGGTCAGCATCCGTCCAGATTACCCCCTGGGCAGTCCGCCGGATCATCAAGCCAGATTGCCACGTTTCCCAGACAGTACAGGCTCCCTTCCCAACGGCGAGCCACTACCTGGTACAACTGAGTCATACGCCACCCTTCCCGTTGGACGATAGCCGATCGCCGAGAGGTTAAGCTGGGCTGGTCAAGGCTGGTCAAGCAGGGTACTTAGGGGTCTACATGGGACGCTCCAACAGAGCGAGAGAGACAGAGCGACGAATCAGTCTGCTGTCAAGCCCAAAGGGGGCCGGCCAGTCGGCAGGCCAGGCACCAGGCCAGGCACCGCTGCGGCGCGCCGCGAGTCCGCGACGATCAAAGAGAAGTGCGGAGAAACTTTGCGAGCCAAACAAATCCCCCCCCCCCCGCCCCCTCCACTGCTCTAAAGCCTCGGAAAGACCAACACGCGGCGCGACACGGGGTGGTTACGGGCTGGTTACGGGGAGAGCACACCGGCCCCGCCTCGACCCCAACCCCAACCCCAACCCCGAGCCGAGCGGATAACTTGGTTGCACTGGCCGAGTTACCGCTTCCCAAACAAGCCGTAGCGAGTAACGACACACACGCGCGCGCACACACACATTTACACACTCACACACACAGAGTCAGACACACACACACACACACACACACACACACACACACAACGGCCAACACCTGCTGCCCGCCCTATTTTTATTCCGGCGGGTCCGTGCCGATACGGCGAGCCGATCCTTTTTATGGGGCGAGTGGCGCGCCCCACCACCGTCCCACCCCTGCAGCCTGGCGGGGCCTGGCGGGGCCCACCACCACCTGTTGCTCGCCGACCCACCAAAGGGCGGGCCGGCTGCCCGTTGCCCGCCGGCAGCCGACTGATTCCGAGGGCCTCCTTCGTCGCTGTCTCTCTCTCGCACTCTTGGGGCGTCCCGTATAGGTGCGAGAGAGACAGAGCGACGAAGGCGGCCCTCGGAATCAGTCGACAGCGCGAACTGCGGGGCCGGGCCATGGCCGGGCCGTGCGGAGCGGAGGGTCGCCGCGGGATGAAAGCGAAGGGGCTCTCAGGGCGGGGCTGGCCTGGGCTGGCTCGGCCGTGACAACCCTGGCGGCCCCGGCATGCAGCGTACCGTGTCGCCGCGTCGCACGGGAGACGCCACACTGTGGGCCAGAAGACCGGTGGAGGAGGCAAAACTCCAGACGCGTTTTGAGTTTGCAGAGTCGCTGAACTGGACTCGAGCCGAACGTGTGACCCACCAATGGATTGCTCTCCGAACGAGGAATCCATTGGTGGGGTCAGACGGGCAGTTCGAGCCCCATTTAGCGACTCTGGAGCTCAAAACGCGACTAGAATTTTTGGTGGCCTCCACCGATGTTCTGGCCCACTGTGCACCGCGACACTCTGAATGGAACCTCGAACCCCGAACCGCGCACTCGCGTTGCCTTGCCGTGCCTTGCCGCCGCGGTTCGCCTTGCCCTTTTGTGCCGCCGAATGATGAAAGCGGTGGAGATTCCTGGCGGGCCCTATCGGGTGACACGTTCCAGAGCGGAGCGGGGCGGGGCGGGGCGGGGCGGGGCGGGGCGGGGCGGGGCGGGGCGGGGGGGCGGGGCGGGGCGGGGCGGGGCGGGGCGGGGCGGGGCGGCGGGGCGGGGCGGGGCGGGGCGGGGCGGGGCGGGGCGGGGCGGGGCGGGGCGGGCGGGGGCGGGGCGGGGCGGGGCGGGGCGGGACGGGACGGACGACATCCCTGGTGCGACGGAATTTCTGGAATGCACGCAGCCTCGCCCGTTCCACCGATCCCGTCCCTTGCATCGCGGTGGGCGGGGCCGCGGGGACGGCTTGTTCAACGCCCAAGAGGCGGTGACGATTGATCCTCTGACACGCCATCGCTTTGCCTGTCCCTCACCCTGCGCGCGCCCGGCAGCCCGACCGAGGAAGTCAAACAAATATCAAGTTTCGTTTGCCCCTTGTGTGCTGGCGGTAGTGCAGGCCGATTCCGGGAGTCGTCGCGCTGTCTCTCTCGCGCCCACAGGGGTCGCCGCATGAGAGCGAGAGAGACAGAGCGACCTGTCTGCTGGCGGTGCTGGTACTGTCGACGAGGTGTGCCCGGGTCTTGTTTCGGCCGGGCCCTACAGTGCGTGCCCCACACGCCGCGCCACGCCACGCCGCGCCACGCCACGCCACGCCACGCCACGCCACGCCACGCCGCGCCACCGCCAGACAAGACAGAGACAGAGCGACACGGAGCGGGAATGTGATAAAGCCACGACCGCCTGCCAAGTGAGGGCAGGGCGAATAAAAAGAGATGAAAGAGTCGCGCGGCTGTCTCGCGTCTCGCGGCGCGTCGCGGCGGACCAATTGGGAGGAGGATGGAAATGGGAAAGCGGAAAAAGCGACGCGAACGACACCCCTGAAAAAGACTGTCTCTCGCAATTTCAGTTTATAGCCAATATACCCCTTTTTGGGGGACTCGTGTTTGAGCGGCGCGGCGCCTTCCCCGACGGGGTGGGTCGGGTCGAGTCGCACTGCGCCGAGGGGTGAATCACTAGTGTACTCATGTGTACAAATTTGCCCGTACTCAGTGTACTCACAAGGTTAAAAAGGGCGAAATTCACTAGTTTTTCGACCGATGTGGCGTCGAGTGTCATTTTAAACGCTAAATTAAGCCTTAAATTGTTTACAAATGTAAAATTTATGAGTAAAGGGAGGTGTACTCACGCGTACTCATGTACTCATGTGTACACCACAACGCTGAGTGATTCACCCCTCGCACTGCGCCCGTTTCCTATTTCCCTCTCGCTCTGTTTGCCCTCGTCCTCGCTGACCTCGGCGTCCTCGCTGCTGTGGTGCTATAGCAAAGCGGTAAAGCGCGACCTGCACGGGCTTCTGTTTTAGCGCGGAATTAATGCAACTGAATGCGTTGGCCGTCGGCACGGCAGAACCCCGGCCTGGCTTGCTGGCCGCTCGGGCTGGCCGCAGACTCCACAATGAATGCATAATGTTTACAACGGGACGTTGCCTCGGGTGCCGCCACACACTGTCGTACTAATGATCCTGACATCATTTTTTGCTGGCGTGAATATAAAGTAGTGAGTACGCCACGCGGCGGAGGAAAAAAAATATAATAATAAAATGAAAATACACGTGGCTGATACGGTGAACGAGAGTTGAACCCGGGTCGCCGGGTCCGGCCATTGTCCTGCATGCCCTGCAGCAACCCCACCGACCCCCTCGAGGTCAACTTGGCCTCCCCGGCGCCCCGGCCACCTCAAAGTTCCAAAGTTACGTCTGACCGTCGTTGCGCTTGGTTTGGTTCCAGAACGCCATCAGCCTGTGCTCGCTGGGGGTGGGCTCCACCTTCGGGGAGTCCATCCTCAACCCGCTGTGCCGCGACACCACCGTCGTCACCAGGACTACGTGCGAGCTGCTCCGGGTGGAGCGGAGGGACTTCAAGGCCATCTGGGAGGTGAGCGTCGTGTGTATCGGGAAGGCAAACTAACTTGATCGCGTTGTGTGCCCGGGACGGACCGCGGCGGCCGGGTAAGGGTTGGGAAAGGGTCGGGGTAGGGTTGGGTAAGGGTCGGCAGGGTCATAGGGAGGGGCTGCCACTATTCCTCATAGCGACAGGTCCCATCAATTTCCATCACGCCCTGAAAGCGGCCGTCACGTGTGTGTGTGTGTGAGTGAGTGTGTGTCTGTGAGAGAGAGAGAGAGAGAGAGAGAGAGAGAGAGAGAGAGAGAGAGAGAGAGAGAGAGAGAGAGAGAGAGAGAGGGAGTGTGTGCTTAGGGGTCCCCAGGCCGACACCCACGCCTCGTGAACCAGGTGCTAAACCCAGAATGAACCACCTGTTCGTCATCAAGGCGCGGTGATTACACTGCGACCCTCCTTCTTGGTTCGCCCTGTTTTCCCGCCCCTCCCCGCCCCGCCCCACCCCCTGTAGCCATTGACGCCCAGGCAAACATCTCCGGCCGTGCGTCCCGGCGTTCCGGTCGGCGTGGCGGTGGCGCCCCGCCGCGCCCCGCCGGGCCCTTCCGGGTCCTTGCCGGTCTCGTTGCCGGTCCTTCCGCCCCCACCGCCGTCACTTTCCATTTCATTTGCCGACCGGGAGAAAACGGTTCGGCGAACGAGACGAGACGAATGGATGGCACGGGGTCGGTGTAATTCGGGGCGGCGCGTTGAGGTGCTTTTCACAGTGGGTCCGATCTAGTTGCGGCCAACGGCCTCCCTCGACGCCCTAGTATTCTTAAGACCCTAGTCTTTCATGTCCTGTATCGGGAAGACGTTGACCACAACGATTTTGCCTTTGACCGCAACGATTTTGGGACCAAAGTTGGTCAAAAAGTGGTCGAAACTCGGAAATTTGCTAATTTTGCTGACTTTGGGCGGCCACTGTGTCCAATCTAGTTGCCGTAAAAGGCCTCCCTTGACGTCCTAGTATTCCTTAGACCCTACTCTTTTATGTTCTGTATCGGAAAGACGTTGACCACAACGATTTTGCCTTTGACCGCAACGATTTTGGGACCAAAGTTGGTCAAAAAGTGGTCGAAACTCGGAAATTTGCTAATTTTGCTGACTTTGGGCGGCCACTGTGTCCAATCTAGTTGCCGTAAAAGGCCTCCCTTGACGTCCTAGTATTCCTTAGACCCTACTCTTTTATGTTCTGTATCGGAAAGACGTTGACCACAACGATTTTGCCTTTGACCGCAACGATTTTGGGACCAAAGTTGGTCAAAAAGTGGTCGAAACTCGGAAATTTGCTGATTTTGCTGACTTTGGGCGGCCACTGTGTCCAATCTAGTTGCCGTAAAAGGCCTCCCTCGACGCCCTAGAATTCTCAAGACCCTACTCTTTCATGTCCTGTACGGGAAGGCTATTGACCGCAACTAGTTTGGGAGCGGTAGCCACACAAAGTTGGTCATGAAGGTTAAAAACAATGATGATCGGGGGCCTTTTGCGGTCTTATCTGCCGGGGTCTTTTGGGGGCCAGTCCGATCCTGTCCTGCAGACTGATTCCGAGTCGCTTTCGCCGCTCCTGTCTCTCTCGCACTACTGTGGCGTACCGTATATAGATGTGAGAGGGAGGCAGCGGCGGAAACGACTCTCGGAATCAGTGCAAGGCGCTTCCCTTCGTGTCTCGGCGCTGCAATTCGCGCGATTCGCGATTGGAAAGCGTCGGCCAGCCATCCTGACTTTAGCGGCGGCCGACGCGCTCGTCCTTGAGTGGCGAAATTACGGCGCGTTTGGATTCCCCGCCTCGCCTCGCCTCGCCATCATTTCGGGCACGTCTTTGCCTTTATCGCGTTTTTCTCCGCCATCTCAGGCAGTGAAAGTCTTGAGGCGAGGTGGGGATTTAGTGAGGGGCCGGGGCCGGGCCGGGGGCGGGGGGGGGGGGGCTGAATGACTTCACAGGTAATTCGAGCCGAGCCGTGCCGAGCCGAGCCGCACCGTGAGGCAAGCCGCCGGAAAGAAGGGGAGGAGGCCGTGCCGTGCCGTGCCGTGCCGTGCCGGCCGTGCCGTGCCGTGCCGGGCCGTGCCGTGCCGTGCCGTGCCGGGCCGTGCCGTGCCGTGCCGGGCCGTGGGCGGGCGGCGGGCGGTGAGTGGCCCGCTACTTTCTAGGCCGGGCAGGGCGGGGCGGTGAGTGGCCCGCTACTTTCTAGGCCGGGCAGGGCGGCGCGGCACGGCACGGCGGCCTCGCTCGACACACGCCTCGCCTTCCGTTCATGCATATTCAGAGCGAAACGGCAAGATTTGTGTTTAAGAGCGGACGGGGCCGAAAGCCTCCCTCCTCCCCGCCGCGCCCCGCGTCACCTTGGAAGGTATTCATTGTCCGCTCCATAAATACCCCGCATCGACCCGCCGCGCCATGTGGTGGCGGTGGAAGGGAGGATGGCATACACAGCCCGGCCGCTTCGCCACCGCCTGTATACCTCCACACCGACTATTTCGTTCAAATTTGTACGCACAAATTCGTGCGACATTGCGTACAACTTTGTACGCGCGAAATTGCGTGAGACGACGTAAAAATCTAGCACAGTGTAATTTGGTGTGTGGGGATTCGCAGGCCCACTCTGGGGGACGGAGTCTGTTTTCCTGGAGCCGCCTAGCGGTCCCAGGTACTTGCCGCGGCAGCCTGCTCTCGCTCTGCACCCAAAAAAATGACTTCTCGGATCAAGAAAAATTTAACTTTTCTTGGTTTTTGCAAGAAAATATTTCTTGATCCAACTTTTTTTTTCTTGAAAGAAGAAAATTTTTCTTGTGTCAAGATTATTTTTCTTAAAAAAAAAAACAAGAAAATAAAAAAATCAAGGAACCATTTCTCTGGGTGTGCTCCTCTCGCCGTGCTCGTCCCTGCACGTGGCCTTCCCGGCGGCCTCGCTGACGCCCTCCCCGTCGAGGGTCAGAAATTGGTTTCTGTCCTCGCCGTCATCCCGACAGCACTCCGGCGGAGTGGCGGCAGTGTAGGAGAGCGCCTGCGGGTCTGCGGGTAGGCAATCTGGCCGGCCGCAGCGCGCAGGTGCCTTCACGTTGCCTACTCCGCCCTCGGCAGGCGCTCCGGCCAGTGCTGCTGCGCTCCGGCCGGCTCCGGCGCATCACAGTGGGCCAGAAGCCGGTGGAGGCGGCCAAAACTCTAGACGCGTTTTGAGCTCCGGAGTCACTAAATGGGACTCGAACCGAACGTGTGACCCCACCAATCGATTGCTCTCCGAACGAGGAATCGATTGGTGGGGTCACACGTTCGGTTCGAGTCCCATTTAGCGACTCTGGAGCTCAAAACGCGTCTAGAGTTTTGGTCGCCTCCACCGGCTTCTGGCCCACTGTGCGCATCCAGGCCGAGCGGGCATCCCCCTCCCCCTCCCCCCTCAAGCCCGGGCGGAGACCAACCGCAAGCCACGTCGCGACGGCGTCGGCGAGTCCCCCGTCAAAGAGCAAAACGACAAGCAGCGCCCCCACTGGCCCTCGTCTGCTGACTGACGACGACGACGCAGCCGAGCCCGCGGTGCACTGATTCCGAGGGTCGTTTTCGTCGCTCTGTCTCACTCTCGCACTCGTGGGGGCGTCCCGCATAGGGAGACAAAGCGGAATCAGTCTATCGGCGCCGCCGTGGAAAAGGCCTTGCAGTCGTCGTCCTGCCCCCCCGGGGGCCTCCACGACGTTTGCTCCGGTGACTTGCCCCGCCTCGCCCCGCCCCGCCCAGGAATAAGGAATAAGGATGAGTAATGGTGATGAATGGCGTGAACCCGGAATGGCGCCGCGTTTTCATATCCCGCTGCTTCTGCTGCTTCAGCGAGCACCCAACTCCAGCCCCGCCAGCCCCGCCAGCCCCGCCCCGCAAACTTGTTGCAGTGCTTCGCAGGCTCTGGTTGTGGCGGCGGGGGAGGAGGGGTGGGGGGCGCCCAGTCATTTAGGTGTCCACTCGCAGAGGAAGTCGCAATAAACTCGCTGCGGCTCCGCTGCTCGGTGGCGCTCTACTTGGCCGCGGCACGGAATGAGAAAAGGTTGGAGGGAAAAGGGGGGGAGGGGCAGCGTCATAGCGCGCACACTGGCGGTATGGCGCTGGCACTCACAAAAGGGCCCCAGTTTCACGGGCCATGCTCGGTGTGAGTGTTTTTAAACAAGAGTTTTCACGCGCAATGCTCTGCGTGAGTGGTTTTCAACAAGAATTTTCACGCGCAATGCTCTGCGTGAGTGTTTTTGAACAAGAATTTTCACGCGCAATGCTGTGCGTGAGTGTTTTTGAACAAGAATTTTAACGCGCAACGCTATCGGTGTTAGTGTTTTCAAACGAAAATGGTTTTCTCCTTCTGTTCCAGAAAAACAAGGAGCTCATGGACCAATTTGTTAGCAGCTGCAAAATTAATAATAAGAATGGTGAGTATCGGAGTGGCGGTGGTTGGGCGGCGGGCTTTCCATCGGGAATATCGGCGCTGGCGAGCCCCGGGGGGGGGGGGGGGGGGGGGGGGCTGTATGACCACGTCGGACGGACGGGCAGGCGGGCTTGGCTTTGTCCCATTCACAGATTCACAGTGCCGGCTGCCATCAGTTTGTTTGGAAAGTGCCGAGCCGATGCGATAGCGCTGCGGTGGCAGGGAATTAACGACTTGGTCCAGAGTTTCGTTTTTGGCGCATTCGGCTTAGCGCCGCCGGCCAACGAATCGCTGTGCGACCGAACTACGCTAACCGGACGCCCGAAGCGCCAAACCTGGCCGGCCTGGCCAGCGCCAAGCAGGGCGCCAAGTCCGAGCGGCGGGTGCCACCGTCTGCCCGCCACGCGGAGTGCCCGGGATAACGAGGGGAGTTGGCAACGCTAGCCTCCGGCAGACTGATTCCGAGAATCGTTTTCGTCGTTGCGTCTCTCTCGCGCCTGTAGGAGGCGCCCCGTGAGTGCGGGAGGGGTGGCGCGGTGAAAACGACTCTCGGAATCAGTCTGCAGGCCGAACTCCGCGCGCGGCGTGTCACAGTGGGCCAGAAGTCGGTGGAGGCGGCCAAAACTCTAGACGCGTTTTGAGCTCCAGAGTCGCTTGATGGGACTCGAACCGAGCGTGTGACCCCACCAATGGATTCCTCGTTCGGAGAGCAATCCATTGGTGGGGTCACACGTTCGGTTCGAGTCCCATTTAGCGACTCCGGAGCTCAAAACGCGCCTAGAGTTTTGGCCGCCTCCACCGACTTCTGGCCCACTGTGCGTGTGGCGTGGGCGTGCCGCCTAGCGGGGTCGCCGGCAAAGCGGCGGAGCGGCGAGGCGCGCTTCAAGCCGTCTGGGATAACTTTTGCTTTCTCCCACGCCAACGCCAGTCTGCAGAATAAACGCGTTCCAACCGTCAAAAATGGCGTTGTTATTTTTTGCCTCGACAGGCTTCACGGCGGCGGGCACGGACGCGGGGGCGCCCGACACGCCCACCTCGCCGTCCAGCACCCCGATGGCCAGCAGAAGGTCGGCCAGCCCGGAGCCCCCGGACCCCGCCAAGCCCATCACCGACGTGAGTACCGGGAGGGTCAAACTAGGGTATATGGGTGATGCAACGCGGCGCCCGCGACAGTGAGGCGTCCTTACACTGGAAACGTAAGTGCGGAGAAATCCACACTTAAAACGCGGAGTATAGGAATTTTCAGTTAACACAATCGGGAGTGCAGACTTGGACGTGTGTGGAGTTCTCCACGTTAGCACCATGCCCAGAGATAGGTCCACACGTGAAGTGTGGAGAGTGGAAACTCCACACGTCCAAGAGGATTACTCCGCTCAAGCAGAGGGAGCTCGTGTATGTATATTTTGCCTGCCTACAGAGGCCATGTGATGCAGGGTGCGCACAATCAGGCACTAAAGGAATCGGATAAAGGGGGCGCACAGTGGGCTTGAAGACCGGCGCAGGCGGCCGAAATTCTAGACGCGTTTTGACCTCTAGAGTCGCTCAAGGGGACTCGAGCCGAGCGTGTGACCCCACCGGGTTATTGCTCTCCGAAAGAGAAATCCATTGGTGGGGGTCACACGTTCGGTTGGAGTCCTGTTTAGCGACTCTGGAGCTCAAAACGCGTCTCGCGTTTTGTCCGCCCGCGCCTGTCTTCTGGCCCACTGGAAGCGTGGGTGTGGTTGGTGTGACGGCGAGGCTTCGCCCCGCTTCGCTTTGTGCCCCAGGCCCCCGGTGCCCAGGCCGTGCGCATCGGCTTCGTGCTCCGCCACCTGCTGGCGGCCGGCTTCGCCCCCGAGTCGCTGCGCGGCGCGCTCACCATCGACGGCCAGCTCATCTTCGCGCGCGGCCGGCGCGCCTGGACGGGCTCCGACCTCGTGGACTGGCTCATCGAGGTCTCCGGCGGGCTGGTGCGCTCGCGCCAGCAGGCCTGCGCCATGTGGCAGTGCCTGCTCGAGGAGGGCGTCATCCTGCACGGTGAGTCTTGCAGTGCAATGCAGCCGTGCCTCCACACTGAAAAACCAAGTCTAGACCACACCACTCGTGTGGTCAAATGGGTGCCATTTTGACCGCATCAGTTGGTGTGGTCTAGACCACGTTTGGCCACGTTTGGCCACGTTTGGTGTGGTCTAGACCACGTTTGGTGTGGTCAAAATGGCACCCATTTGACCACACCAGTTGGTGTGGTCTAGACCACGTTTGGTTTTTCAGTGCATTGGCAAAACGAAAGCGAAGCACCACTCTCTGTTTTCAAGCCGATTTCAATCGACCAAAACTCGGTTTGCAGTTCATTTGATTGTATAAAATTTTATACAAAACATACAGTCCAAGACCCGAATACAGTCAAACGAAGAAACCTTATGAGATCTTAAATGAACCAATCCACATAAAATTCCGTTCGGCGAGATGAAAGAGAAGGCTGGCCGCCTTCGGGGTTTGATCGCGGGCGGCTGGAGGCACACTCCATGCCCACTGGTGGCGCGGCGCGGACGGTTGAGGAAGGACAGGAAGAAAGGAAGAAATATCGCGGGGCGTACCTCTCGAAATTGGGCGGCTGGCTTAAGCAGCTCTTTCCTCCGAGCGCCAAATTAATCTTCCGGCTTCCCTCTCCATGCTCCCTCCTCCCCCCCCCCTCCCCCTCCCCTTCTCCCTCCCCCTCTCCGTGTGGAGTGAGAGGCGAGCCCTGCGCTGCGCCCTGCCCCGCTCCTTGGCCGCAAACGACACAATAATCCCGAAGTGCGAAGGAGGCTGCCGGTGGCCCTTCACAGTGGGCCAGAAGACCAGTGGAGGCGGCCAAAACTCTAGACGCGTTTTGAGCTCCAGAGTCACTAAATGGGACTCGAACCGAACGAGTGACCCCACCAATGGATTGCTCTCCGAAGGAGGAATCCATTGGTGGGGTCACCCGTTCGGTTCGAGTCCCATTTAGCGACTCTGGAGCGCAAAACGCGTCTCGAGTTTTGGCCGCCTCCACCGGCTTCTGGCCCACTGTGCCCTTGCGGCCCTTGCGGTGGCCGGACTCTGTCTCTCTCGCACTCGTGCGGACTCCCGTAAAGGTGCGAGGGAGACGGAGCGGCGTGAGCGTTGCGGCGTGACTGGGCCTGCAGTCATTAAGGACACTGACCAAGTGCCGCGTCAGCCTGGAGGCTGATTCCGAGAGTCGTTTTCGTCGCTCTGTCTCTCTCACACTCATGGGCCGTGTCGAAGAGGTGCGAGAGAGACAGGGCGATGAGAACGACTCTCGGAATCAGTCTGCGGGCTGACGGACGGACGGACGGGCGGCCGGGCGGCTCGGCGACGCTGCCCGACTGCCAACGTGAATAATGAAGTCTGCGGGACTCTCATCAATCCGAGGCTCCCTGGCGCTTGGAGTATCGCCGCGGTAGGCGAGTGCCAGGCCGCCGGGCGCCAGGCCGAGGCGAACCGATACCGCGCCGATGCGGCGATACCCCGCGCGACGGATGCGCGGCGCCAGCGGCGTCAGCCTTGGCGTCAGCCTGCACAGGGGACACATTGAGACGACGACGGCCGTGGCGCCGCGGCGCGCCTAGCCCAAGGCAGCCGAAGATAGCCGAAGGTGGCCGAGGTGGCCGAGGTGGTGGCGGACGCAGCCGAAGGTGGTTGCGAAGGTCAAGGCAGAGGGCCGCGGCACTCCTCGCATGCCAGCGGGTATACAGGGTGCCAGTGCCAGGCGCGAAGCAAAATGAAAGAAGAGAGAGAGAGAGAGAGAGAGAGAGAGAGAGAGAGAGAGAGAGAGAGAGAGAGAGAGAGAGAGAGAGAGAGAGAGAGAGAGAGAGAGACTTGGCAGAGTAGCGCTGCGGGCCCGACGTCACGTCACGCGGCGCCCGGCGCGTGTATGCGCGGCGCGCGCGCACCGTGGGAACCTGAATGAAGAGGTAAAGGAGACGACAAACAATCCATCAGGGGCAACAACAACAACAACAACAGGCCGGTGGCGACAACCTTGCCGGCGCGGGCAAGGCCGCGCGTCACGGCAGCGGCGGCAGCGGCCCAGGCTGCTCGGCCACTTATCTGGCGAGGCCGTTCATTAGACATAAATCTCGCTTCGCACCGTCGTTTATTTATGACAGGCGGGGCAGGTGCGCACCGCGGTCCCCGACACCTCGCGGGGGGGGGGGGGGGGCTTAACGGCGTAGGACGACAGGGCAGGGGCGGAGCGCGGGGCACGCCCGAGGCGCCGAAGCAGCCGCTGGCGGGGACGACAGTAACGAGATGGAGAAAATGAGGTCCTCTCCGACGCCATCCCGGCCGACGAGTGAGACGTGAGTGTCCTGATGACGTCCTCCCCGCCACCGCTGTGTCGCGCGACGCGACGCGACGCCGATCCAAGATCTAATACACTCTACGGTCGGCGCGGACGACGGCGCGCGCTTCAGTCGCCGGGACGAAAACAAAACGTCCCCGCGGGGCTGGCGGGCCTGGCGGGGCTGGCGGGCCTGGCGGCAGGCGCGCGACGGCCTGTCGCTTCGCGCGGTTCGGCGCGTCGTGGCGCCAGTGTACCTCCCGTCCGTGCCGCCAGCGTACCGCCGCCGCGCTGTGCCGCCTCGTCCTTCCCCACGACGCGCCGAGAAAAAAGACCGCGTGTGCTCCACACTGTGCAGTGCGTGGCCAAGCCCGGCATGACCCCGTCGGCCCCAGGCCGCCCCATCCGCCGCAAGCCGTCCCGCTGACGGGCCGCCGAGGAAGTCCGCCGCCACGGCCACGGCGACGACGGCGGCCCACGGGGGGCCCGCGGCAGGCCCTGCCGTGCTGGAGGCGGATGCCGCGGGTGCCGCCACTGCCGCCACTGCCGCGCCCAGCGCCGGCGACGCCACCTCGTGCGTCCTGCGGGACCTCTTCTTCAAAATGCGATTCTCCTTCAGGAAGAAGCGGCGCCGGCCCACCAAGTCAGGTACACGCGGCAAGCCGTCCCGGATCCGAGGCGGCCCTCCCGCGCCGCGCCGCCAGCCGAGCGCTCTGTCTCTCTCGCACCCTCACGGTGTGCCTCATCAGTGCGACAGAGACAGAGCGACGAAACTACTCTTGTGAATCGCTCCGCAGCCCCAATTAGACTCGGCGTGCGACCGCGCGGTGCGCTGCAGTGCTGCACGTGCTGCAGCAGGTCAGGAAGGAATCGAAATCTTTTGAAATTCAAATCGGAAACGAATGCGAGATGAGAGTGTTCACAGAGCTCTTGGAGCGAGGATTCGAATCCATCCACACTTAGGTCGCAAGCAGACTTGATGCGTTGTCGAGCCGTTCCGAAGAGTCGTTTCGTCGCTCTGTCTCTGTCGCACTCATGGAGCTCTCCGTAAGGGAGCGAGAGAGACAGGGCGACCAATCGCTCGGCAGGCCGACGACTTCATTTGCCCGTAGAGTAACTACTCGGCCGTGAAGGCTGCGCCGCTGCTCCGCTGCGCCGTTGGCGGCGGCGGCCTCTCCCCATCCTTGTCTATCGCGGACGTGGGGCGACAGCAGCGCGGCCCGGCCAACGTGCCCCGTGTCCTCCGCTGTCAATAGTGTCAATACCGGCGCCGCGTTGACACTGTCAACTTGACGGGGGCCGCCGCCCGCGCGACGCGCGACAGGGACCTGGCTGGCCGCCACGCCGGCACGCCGCCACCGCGCCTCCCCTGTCCCGCCTGTCGACCGATATGGAATAACTTTCGCCCGGCACGATCAGCGCGCCAAACCCGGCCAACCAAGCCGACCCTGTGACCCAGGGCCGCCCTGGGCCGCCCCGGGCCCGGGAAGGGGACGACTAGTTCGTGCCGCGACGCGTCGCCGCGTCTCCCGCACCACTGCCTCCGGGCCGGGAGGACGGACAGTCGGGTAGGCCAAGCAGGCAGACAGGCAGGCAGGCAGACAGGCAGGCAGACAGGCAGACAGGCAGACAGGCAGACAGGCAGACAGGCAGACAGGCAGACAGGCAGACAGGCAGACAGGCAGACAGGCAGACAGGCAGACAGGCAGACAGACAGACAGACAGGCAGACAGACAGACAGGCAGACAGGCAGACAGACAGACAGGCAGACAGACAGACAGACAGAAAGGCAGGCGGCAAGGTGCGGACGTTCGTTAAGCCCGGATGATCCAACCAATCAGACGGCGTCTCTGTCCACTATTCTACGTGACGGGGATGCGCCAGCGCCAGCGCCGGCAGCGACGTCCCCATTACTTTTCCTTCGGAGCCGAGGGGGTGGGGGGCTCCAGATTTGCTCGCACCTGCTGCCCGTCCCGTCTAGCGCGTCTAGCGGCCGGGGCCTGCCGGCCTGCCGGTAGGGGGATTCACGACGTTTATCCCCTCGGCTGGTCTGGCCTGGCCACACTCCGTGAAAGTCAATGCGGGGCGGGGCGGGGCGGGGCGGGGCGGGGCGGGGCGGGGCGGGCGGGGCGGGGCGGATGCGCTTGATGAATAATCCAAGGAACCGGTTATCGGGTTTAGCGGGGCGAGCTGGGGCTGCACGAGCGCGAGGTGCGCGAGGCCCTAGTGCAGGTGCGCGGGTTGCGCGGCCGAGCAGGTCGTCGTGCTGCCCCGCTGGGGCGCGCCGGGGCGCGCTGGGGCCGTCCTGCCGGCAGGGCCCTGTCGGCTGGGATTAGTGTCAGCTCCGCGCTCTGGCCGCTCTGCTCGCTCTGCTGCCCCGTGTATGGGAAAGCACTTACGCCCGCCCCGCGTCGCGCGTCGTGACATGAAAGCCACCGCACCTGCCGGCCGACGCGTGGGGCCCCACAGTGGGCCAGAAGACCGGTGCAGGCGGACAAAACTCGAGACGCGTTTTGAGCACCAGCGTCGCTGAACGGGACTCGAACCGAACGTGTGACCCCACCAATGGGTTCCTCGTTCGCATAGCAATCCGTTGGTGGGGTCACGAGTTCGGTTGGCGTTCCTCTTAGCGACTCTGGAGCTCAAAACGCGTCTAGAATTTCGGAGTCTTCCGGCCCACTGTGCACACCTGCCGGCCACGGCCACGCGTCGG